CTTAGGCGCCTTGAGATACCATCGCGAATTGTCAGCTGTCCTGCTAAGCTCAAGTTGCCGTCAAAATCTGCCAAAGGCTGCACAATGTGACGCATCGACATATTGTGAAGCAGTGTACTATGAAGGATAATTATACATTGTAACTTCAGGTTCAGAAGGGCTAGAACCCAGAGCCGTAAAGCCAGTTATTAAAAAAAATAACGAATCTAACGACAATCCATAATGTTAAAAATCGTTTAGGATACAGCCCGTGCCAAGTAAATAAACATACATACATACACTCGAAAAACATTACCCGCCTGCTGGGACAGTAAGATAAAAATAAAACCAACAGTGACATAAAACCGTACATAATCAATATCTAAAATAAACGGGTTTCAATTCATTAAAACAATTTAGTTTTTATTATAGAGTTCACCTACATGAACACGTGACGACACTCATGCACACAGCAATGAAAGTACAAACGTATGCTAACAAATTTGAAAGTGAAATTTCATACGTCAGCTGCTTTAAGTTCATTCTACAGAATTGACTATGATTACTATTTGCCTGTGGCTTTGTTACAATTGAGTGTAGAGCTCTGAAACATATTTTTTAAAGATTTTATGAGAACTTAAATAAAATAATAATAAATATTAGAACCTAATTTATATTTCAATGTTTAGGCTTCCGTAACCCAAATAAACAAAAACCGGCCAAGTGCGAGTCGGACTCGCGCACCGAGGGTTCCGAACAAATCTGTAGGTATATAAGTTTAAAATTATTAAAAATATTTTTATTATATGATGTAACTAAAAATTTATGCTTTTCGCAATTTTTCCTTTATCTGTACTATAAAACGTTGCTTCGTACCAAATTTTAAGATTCTGTGTTCACGGGAAGTACCCTGTAGGTTTTGATTCGTGTCGAAAATTTGCGCCATAAATGAGAAAAAGGGTCTTGACAGACAGACAGACAGACGGACGGACAACAAAGTGATCCTATAAGGGTTCCGTTTTTTCCTTTTGAGGTACGGAACCCTAAAAAACGTAACACTTATAGGATCTCTTGGTTGTTCGTCCGTCTGTCTGTTTTGAAGGCTCTTTTTCTCAGAAATGAGTAGAGGTAAAAAATTAAAATTAAAACTAAATATTTAGGTCTACGATCCCTTGAAGATGTAAAAATTCTATCTTCTAAGTCAATGAATTTAAATAATATGGCCATGTGTTACATGTTTTGATACTTACAAACTCACTCTTCAAAATTTAGCGTACTTCCCGTTAACCTAGATACCTAGAATCATGAAATTTAGCAAAAATCAAGGTATCGCTGCAAAAGTAAAGGAAAAAAATCCGAAAATCGTTAATTTGTAGGTATATCGCACAATAACATTTTCCCGATAGGAGCATCGACTGTAATGTAGACTTATGTACGGGAGAAGATTTTTGGTATTGCAAAGTTAAGTACTTATGTCCTTCAATCCGACTTACCTTTTCATTGTTTTGAAAAATGTGTTGGTTTTTTTTATAAGATAGGGAGACAAACGAGCACACAGTCAACCTGATGGTAAGTGGTTCTGTGACCACTTACTAAAGAATCAAAATGCGGATGCGTTGTCACCCGTGAGGCCTAAGACGTATACGAATACCTCTTGTCCAGTAAAAAGCTGCTATTTTACGCTAGTATTCCGTAAGAGCGTGGTCCTTCCCCGGTCGAGTCGACCCATTCGTACTACAACTATAGGTACTATTAATATAGCTGCAGCATGGCTCCACCACATATTTCTATTGAACTATCTACATGTTTATAATTAAATTTATAAGTACTTTGAACGCGAGTCTGATTCATACTTGACCGGTTTCTTTCTTTTGAATTTTTTATAATACTATCTATTCTATTTTTAAATTTATCCAAGTCTATCTCCAATCTATTGCATAAACAATTTTATAATAAGAAAAATTAAGTTCATGGGCGGCTGTCGACGTTTACCATCAGGTGAGCCGCATGCTCGTTTGCTCTTTATTTTATAAAAAATAAGGCTTTTAAAGAAGGATCGTTGTTGGATTATTAAAAAATAATTTAACTTTTTTCTACGCAATATCTAAGAGCTACTATTTCTTTTAGATAATGTATTACCCCAAACATGCTATTTCGTAAACTCAAAGTAGGTGAGACACTTTCTAATTTTTTTTTGTTGTGGAATAGTGAGGCAATGACTTAGAGCGTAAAATAAAACAATAAAACAATCAGTAATCATAGACATCGTTTCTAGGCAACGGTTTATGATCAAGACTGACGTTAGTTAGTTAGTTAAATATTCCTCTGCCACCTCTGTCCCACGGGATGATACGGGGTAGATTATTATCTTGCGCCGCATCTCCAAGGTGAATTCACTGCACACTAAAACAAAAAGAAGTCATTAAAAATTGTGGTTACCAACCAGCGTGTCAAGTGTGGCACTATGACAAGTATTATCCTATGAGGCAATATATGGGGGAGGCTAAGTTCAGCTGTGGACTTTGATAGGCTGATGATGAGGATGGTTGTGACTAAATATAGAAAAGGCGACTTTAGTATGTAACCACTTGGTGATTTATTTTAAGCAATTTCATTGTCAAAGTCGTTTGTCACTTTTACTGTGACGTGAAAGGCAGGTGAAAGTTTTGGCGCTCCGACAAGCTTGAAGGTCAAGAGCTAAAGGCGCAAATCTGGGGGAAGAGTGAAATGACTTTTAAAAAGCTATGCACGTGTTCGGAATATAAAAATTTGTTTGAAAATTGCTTTTATGTGGAGCTATTGTAAAAGTAGAAGCTTCGGAAATTTATCGTCGTACACTGTACTCTCCGGACCTTGCTTCTAGATATATATTTTTTTTACAAAATTTTGTTAACTTTTTATAGAGATCTTATCTTAACTCTGATAAGGCAATGAAAAAACGCCTTTAATGAATTCTATAACGGAGACAATCGACTCTTTGTTTTAAATATTTTGTATAAAAATTGCAAATTTTTCTACATAATGCGGTCAAATTTTAATGGTAAATAAATATTATGCATATCTGCCCTATTATAAGTGCCATATTTTAAGTACAATTTTAAGTGCGGTAGTGTTGATTTATAGGCGGTGAAGGAAAACATCGCGACTCGTGAGGAAACCTGCATGTCTGAGGAATAAAAAAATATTTCGAACACACGTGAAGTTCGCCAACACGCATTGGGACGGCGCGGCGGACACTTTCTTTCCATAAAAACCCTCTCAGAAATGAGGAGAGCCTGTGGCCAGCAGTGGGACGTATATAAGTTGTAACTACGTACTAAAGTTGTAACTAGGTGGTTGGTGAATTTGCACGGTTGAAACCTTATTGTTTATTGTTTACAATGGTTGTAAAAAATGAAATTATATTTCTAAAAAGGAGTTGGTAAAATATCATTGGTTGTGAATGTGAGTTTGCTCAACTTATAATTAATTCTTCTCGGTCTGAGAGTTTTAACAGTGGTAGAGCCACGCGGCAGTTTTTGCTGTCGCACGGATGGGCCGGCTCGAACCGGGGTGGTACCACGACCTCACAGAAAACCAGCGTGAAGTAGAGGTAGGTTTACCTCTGCGTTTCGCCTGGTGAGTGCAGGTGGCCGGAGGCCCTTTTTACTGGAAATGAGGCATTCCATCTTAGTCCTCACGGGTGACAACGCATCTACATTTTGATTTGTAATAGAGGATAGATGTAGATGTCTATGGGCCGCAGCAACCACTTACCATCAGGTGGACTGTGTGCTCGTTTGTCACCCTTATCCTATAAAAAAAAAAAAAAAAGTAGTAAAACACCTTAACAATTAAAAAAATCTCTTCTGGTTTGAAATTACAAAAATAAAATAATAATTACAGTTATTTGTCTCTTTTTAACAAAGAATATTAATTTATTAATTATCGAATATGACGGTATACCATTCACAAGAACAAAACTGTTCTGCAAATGTTTGCCATAAAGCGAAATTGTTAAATAAATAATTACAGTGACACGCACATGTAAAAATTTATAGAGTTTTGGCATTTTGCCACGTAAAATTCTATACTTAGGATTATAGTTAATATTTACTGAAACGTGTATCGACAAAACCGTGTGTATTTTGCATATTAAGTTATCATAGTATTATGCTAATAAGAACCAGATCTAAAAATGTTCGAAATACTTATTTGCGTGTATGAGCTATTTGTTCATCAAACAATATTCATATTACCACATCAAGGTTTATGGCTAATTTTAAAATCATGCAATAAAAGTTATTTAATAAGATAAAAACAACATGAAAAAATATAAAAGCATTTTTTTTAAAGAATGCTAATGGATGCTGTGGCCAATAGACATCTACATCTATCCTCGATTACGAATCAAAATGCAGATGCGTTATCCATCACCCGTGAGGACTAAGATGATATTATGTAATAGCTGACATACTCGGAAGGAGTTTTGTTTAAAGTGTGTTCACCAGTTTTTTTTTTATAGGATAGGGTGACAAACGAACACACAGTCCACCTGATGGTAAGTGGTTACTGTGACCCATAGACATCTACATCTATCTTCAATAAAGACTCAAGATGCAGATGCGTTGTCACCCGTGAGGACTAAGATGGAATGCCTCTTTGCCAGTAAAAAGGGTCTCCGGTTCTCTACACTCACCATACGAAACACAGCAGCGTTAAGCTGCTATTTTACGCTGGTTTTCTGTGAGAACGTTGTCCTTCCCCGGTCGAGCCGACCCATTCGTGCTACAACTATACTTCTAATATAGCTACAGCATGGCTCTACCACGTATAAAACCGTACTGTTTTCATTACATTGTACATTTATTTTTCCATTGAATTGATTATAAGTCCACATTGCTAACCAGTCTCATAGGACTACGTATAAATACATTTTATTAAGGATACTTATGACCTTCCATGCCCTGTTATTTTTATCAGTGTTCTATGAATAATTAGAAAACACAAAATGAATAATACAAAACTTTTTTACAGAAGCAATGGCCACCTCCGTCCTCCAGCCCGAAGATTGCCGAAGAGAGCACGAACCCAAACCAGAAATAACCGAATCGCCGAGACTGACCGAAGATGAACGGTTGCAAATACTGGAAGCTAAAGAACGGGAAACTGGTGAACTGCCATCAGAACTAAGAGAAAGAGCTAGAGTGGAACTTAGAGAAAACCCAGCGTTAAGAGAACAAGCGTTGGCTCAGATGAGACATTTTATAGAAAAACATCCGGCTATTAGAAAATGTCGAACTGGTAAGTACTTTTTTATCGTGGATCATCATATATACCCTACGCTCCGGGGGCAACGTAAAAGTTATACCGGACTCTTACCAGCTAAAACCCCACGGTGGTCAGGCGTCCCGGGATCTCCGTTCGGAACGCAACCCGAAGGGTCCCCTCTCTCGCTTTGACTTATTGGAAGCACGTTCCGGGTGTAGTACTTGCTGCCGCATCCTCGCAGGGCTATCACGATGACTCGGGACCACTTCCGAGTCATGGTCCTTCTCGTGGGATTGTAAATAAATATTATTTGTTTAGTTTGCTTGGAACGTTTCCACGTAACATAACTCACCAACCTATCATTGCAAAAGTAATGAGAGTCGATTACTAAGAAAAAAATATAGTAGATGGTGAAAAAAAAAAACAAAACATTATAGTATGGTTACAAATTAATGTTTTATTTAAGACAATATTTTTGCGGCCTTGATAAATTTAGACTTTTTTAGAATTTAGAAATTTGCAGAGAAGCAAATAGTAAAGAAAAGTTAATTAAAAAAAAAACTCGAACATTCTGTCGTTTTTATCTTTTAAATTCAAAATGCGTGGTAACTGCTTTGTTGCCCATAAATCACATTCAATTTGGGACAATATTAAATAAAAGTAGGAGCCTTATTTACTCGTATTTTCAAAAACTGCAATAACCGTATATCATTATTTATATATTTGAACGTTTAAAATTTGGCTACTCTGAAAAATAACCTTGTATAAAATAGATGGCAATCCTAATTCTGACCGCCATAAATGTGACCCACACTAAAAAAAATAAGCTATTATACTAGCTAAAATAAGTTTAAAAATTTTAAAGATACTCGTCACTAGTCACTTTAGTACCTTTTATTTAAAATTAGCACTGATTTTGGGTAGAACTCTTTTTTCAACTTACATATAACTATGTCCTCACATTGCATTTATTTAAGGGCTGCAATAAAATGGGAATGAATGTTTAAATTAACGAGGAGAAACACTTCAGTACAAGATAAGTTTAGAATCCTCGTAAACATTTAAAAAGGTAGACATTTATTATTAACGTTTTCATTCATTGATGTAGGTACAATGAAATTGGAGACTGTAGTCGTAATAATAATGAAATAAAATACATTCAAACACAGGCAATATGATTAAAAATAAATTAGTCGAAAACTTACACTACTTGCTGTTTTACATTAAAATAAGTTGTTTACAAGCCGTATACGGAATAAAATGGTGTGTATTTTGGGTTTTAAAGTAGATAATTCATTTATTATTTCACAATTCATTCACACATATTTCATTTCATTCTGATATCTTAAAAATCTATACTATAATAAAACTCTAACACGACGTCTGCCTGAACACGCATCACGCAAAAACCTGTGAACCGAATTGGATGGGACTTTCACTGACAGATAGCTGATGTTAACAGAAACAGAAACAGAAACTTTTTTATTCAATATAGATTATAAATAATACTTATTGAAAGTCACTCTTTTGTTTAGCTACCACTGGTTCAAAAAAAACCTCTGTCCTGGGAAAAACCAGCAAGAAACTCAGCGGGACTTTTTTTTTAAATAACAGCTTACAATTATGTATGTTACACAAATTAACAACACAACAAATTAGAAATAGCTTGGTAGCGATCACCTCATTTCTTATTTTAGGGTTCCGCGCAAAAAAACTTCCCCGGGGTTCGCGCGAGTCGCGGGGAACAGCTAGTATAAAATAACGTCTTGTTAATTTGCTCTTATAGTAAAATAAAATCCCAATAGGCTTTGAAAATTTAGAAATAGACTTTTTCAAATTTTAACGCATATTACCTTAAGTCCAGGCCTCGTGCCCTTAATCCATCGCCCGAGTATGTTGTAGACACTAATATAAAGAGTTTTTCAGCGTTATATGCTGCCTATGACGTAATCTTTATACATTAGCCTCGCATGTCCAGCTGTGGACTATTGATAAGTTGCAATGAATAAATGAAATAATTCTTTCCAGATCCACCATTTCTGTTACGTTTCCTCCGCACAAAGAAGTATTCGATCCCACAGGCGTGCTCTATGCTGGAGAGATATTTGACGATCCGGCAAATGTACCCACAATGGTTTCAAAAGTTGGATCCGTTGGACCCTAAAGTGGCTGCTGTTATAGACGCTGGATATTTGGTTCCGCTGCCGAAGAGAGATGCAGAAGGAAGAAGAGTTGTGTTGTCATGTATGGGTAAGTATTTCGAACCGAATCTACCTTTTTCTTACAAGCTCAGACCTATAAAGAAATAATATAGACGAAGCCCTGCGTTGCATATATTTCAAGTGACGAAAAATTCAAGCCAAAATCATGTACAACTTATTGTAAGAACACGCACTAATGCACATAATATATGAATATAAAATTATCTGCTTGGGTGCACTAAGCCGCGTATCCACCGAAAATGTTGATAACAGTTATGTTTCCAACTGTTTACAACTGTCTCCAACAAGCGTCTCCACCGAGGGAACAAATGTTGGCAACAAACGTATTCCTTTGATGTTGCCGCCGAAAATGGAAACAAGTTTTGTTGGCAACTGTTGTGTTGGCAACAAAACTTTGGTGGACACGCGGCTTTAGAGGCGACTGTTACTGACTAAAGAAAGAAAGAAAGAAGAAATATGTGTGCGTGAATGTGTGTGTCGTGAATGCGTGCCGTGAAGTTGAGTCTGGTTTCAATGTCAGTTAAAATTTAAGAACTCCGTTTATCTTTATTTCCCGAGTTTTCAAGTACATACTGGTAATTTTTTATTAATATTTTCTAATTTAAATAGTACAATGAATAATGTTTTATTTGAAAACTTGAAAGATTTTCCGTACGTGCTAGAGCCACGCTGCAGCTGTATTACGCTGCTGTGTTTCGCATGGTGAGTGTAGAGAACCAGAGACCCTTTTTACTGGATACGAGGTATTCCATCTCAGTCCTCGGGGGTGATAAGTGATAACTGATATCCTAATTGAGGAAAAATGTGGTTGTGTGGGCCACAGCATCCACTTACCAGGTGGACTGTGTGCTCGTTTGTCATCCTTATTTCATTAAAATATGCTCACAACATAGTAACTAGTTGTGGGTTAACTGTGAAAACAGCTAACCCACCAAAATCATAAATGAGAAAAGAGGACCAAATCCGGTACAATCAATATACGGGGATGTCGGCGTTGCCAATAAAATACTTGATATCTGAACGAGTGCCAAGTTTCATAAATCACAGCTATAGGAATGTACAAATACATATGACGTTCTTCGATTAAATTAAAAAAAAATGTTCTTATTTAATATGGTATTTATAACTAAAGTTATAATAATCAATAAATTACGTGATAATATTTACTCAAGCATAATTTAACTTTTTTAGGTTGTACATGAAACCACAGTGTGCAACCTCTAGTGGCAACCTCGTACCGGTATGCGAAGTGTATGGCGGTCACCCACTTGATGTAGTGACGACCTGGTACGATATGCAGGAAGTGGATGGATGCAGGTGGCTCAGGCTTATGTTCAGGAGTGGACTTGTAAAGGGCTGTAATGATGATGATGATGATTAAACTACAAACGTTTTATTGCATATAAAATGTTAGTATTATATATTGATTACATAAGACAATGTAGTCAACATATGGATGTAAAGGAGGCGAGAGAGTTGTGCCAGGATCGTGGAAAATTGAAGTCCGTAATCTCTGCCTACCCTTCTGGGTGACAGGCGTGAGTGTTTATGTTTGTATATATATATATATATATATATATATATATATATATATATATATATATATTCTATATTGGTGAGTCGTAGGTAGGTAGCTCGAAATGGTTCATGTACATATAATATTACACGCTGCCGCCACGTCGCCGTGTCTAGGTCTTATAGCTAACTATTCATATATAAACTACTTCTATTTCATGCAGGTCGTTTCGACCCTCATCTATACGACAGCTGTGTAATGGCTCGCGTCCATTCAATGATAGTGGAGCTTTTACTGGACGAACCTCGCTCTCAGCTCCTCGGCTATACACACGTCAACGACGAGGCCGGTATGCAGATGCCACACGTCAGTCTCTGGTCTCTCAGCGATGTACGAATCATGCTCAATTGTATACAGGTAAGCAGTTATTCAGGTAGAAATAACTTGTTTTTATTATTTATTTATTTAGGCAGCCCCGTTGTAAATTTTACAGTAGGCGAGTATTAACCTGGGTTCGATACCCGGCGGCAGCAATGAAATTCTTAATAGCAATGTTAAGTGCTGAATTACCAAGTGCTCGGCGGTGAAGGAAAACACCGTGAGAAAACCTGCATGTCTGAGAAATAAGACAAAATATTTCGAAGACATGTGAATTTCGCCAACACGCATTGGGGCAGCGCAACGGACATTTCCTTACCCTAAAACCCTCTCAGAAATGAGAGGAGCCCTGTGCCCAGCAGTGGGACGTATTTACTTTAAAAAAAAATCAATTTATTTCAGAGTCCATACAGGTAACATTGACATTATAATAAATTTAATCTCATCTAATTTAATTTTATATAATTCTATGTAATCTTTTTAATTTAATTTAATCTTATTCAATTTAAATCAATTCAATATAACTTAATTCGATTTTTTAATATATTAATTACTTGAATAAAATTAATCTATAGTTTAATTCACGTATCTGCCAAATATAATATAATATAATATCTTTAACTTTACTTTTTTTTATTTGTATAAATGATATGTATTTCATTATATAAAACTTGGCTGTACGCAAGTTAGCTGCGAGAAAGGTTTTCGGAAAGTCCGTAAGAGGAATTCGGCATTAAAAATATCATGTGTCGATATGTCATAAAAAAAGGAAAAGAAAGATCGAATTTTATTGCATGTCGTTAAAGTCTAAATGACTGAGACGGCTCTGTGGCGTTGTGGCTCAGTGATCACGTACGGAAGAAGTATTTGTATGGATCTGTGCAATTTACGTTTATATACTGCCCTCACGATACAGGACAAAAACGTAGTGTGATAAACAATTAAGCTTAAACCACAGAATAAATAATAGTACAAGACCTATAACGTAAATAAAAAGAAATTAAAAACCCACGAAACAAAAAGAGTTGATGATCTTCAAACGGCCAAAAATTTTAAAAATTGTGTTTTTGTTATAAGTACCGTCGTAGACTATGAGTACCGTATATACACTTTCATATGCATTTAGTAAAAAACTGTTATTTTGACATTACAAACAAACACTTCAATTTTATTTATTTGTATAGATGAAGTTTTATTTTCATAGACGCTAATAATTCATTTATTTTCAATAATATAATACGTTTATCAATAATAATAAACTACGAAAGGAACTTCGTTGTAACCGAGTATTCCACGACACTCACGCATGGTTTTTTTTTGTTATGTTTAATCCAGGCTGAAAGGACATGGTACACTTTTAGTGTAGTCATTGATTGTGAAAGTAAAGTTTGTGTCTCACTTGTTCGTTAAGTATAACATAAGGCGACTCTACCGAAATTAAACGTGGTAGAGCCATGCTGCAGCTATATTAGTAGTATAGTTGTAGCACGAATAGGTCGGCTCGACCGGGGAAGGACCACGCTCTCACAGAATACCAGTGTAAAAGAGCAGCTTAACGCTGCTGTGTTTCGTATGGTGAGTGTAGGGAACCGGAGACCCTTTTTACTGGAAATGAGGCATTCCATCTTAGTCCTCACAGGTGACAACGCATCTGCATTTTGATTCGCAAACGAGGATAGATGTAGATTTCTATCTATCCTATAAAGAAAATATTACTAACGATTTTTACTCGCTGATGGTGATCAAGATGAAATGTATGAAATTCCTATACAACTATTATATTTGTTAACATCACCATCATCATTAAATTATTTTAGGTACCATATATTGCCTCAAATGGGGATTATTTTCCTTGGTAGCCACGCTAGGCAGGCGTGTTGGCAACCGCATTTTAGTATTATGTTGAGTTATGATCAGGAATATACTACTCCCCCTGTTTTATTTCCCATTGTTGCCTCTTACGACACCCACGGAATGGTTCAGAGTAGTGAGCCACTTCACAGATTATACTTTTGTTATACTTACTTATGTTTTTTTTGCAGAATTCTACACCTATGCGTCACAAATGCACACATTTTGTGAACATTCCTCATTACGGAGTGAAGTTTTTCGAGTTCGCCGTGTCTCTGCTAAGTGAAAAATTAAAAGATCGAGTTATGGTAATAATATTTTATTATTTTATTCATATCTGGTTGTAGTACGCGGCAGTAAAGATTATATTTCAAGCATAAAAATATGTATAAGCAAAGTAAATATGAATAAAAATAAAAATAGCTTTAGCAAGTGACTATTGCCCACAATCGGCTAGCTACTTCTCTATAGTGTGTTGCCTTTTTCATTAGGCAAAAAGTCATTATAATACGAGTAATAAATCAGTGACAACACTGATTTATTGCTCGTATTATAATCAGAAATGAAAACTAACGGTATTATAATATATATTATATATGTTTTTTATTTATTTTATTTATTTAAACTTTGCTGCACAAAAATGTACAAAGTCGGACTTAACGCTTTAAGGCGTTCTCTACCAGTCAACCCATAAGTAAACAGAGAACACTCACTACATTGGAAGTGCAATAAGATTTGTAAGAAAAAGGAAAGGATCAACAAACTAACTATATGAAAATTAATTGAATGGATTAACAAAGAATGTGTATTACTTATACAATATAAAATATAAATGAATTTAAATAAGTATTATGTACTATAATCTTTATTGAATAAAAATGATTCTATCCTATTCTAATCTATAATATTTTAGAGCATTTTACTAATTTATTAAAGTTGAAGTGTTGAATAGGTATTTTTAACATTGTGATGAACTTCTCCCATCACTTTGTCATATTCTATTGTTCAACTGTATTGTAGAATTAAATTAACTAACATTAGCACTACGCGATCATCCAACCCTTCAACTTCAAATTTTCCCCAGAATCTGAGCGAACAGGTTTGATTCAAAACCTGCGCCTGTAGGCGACGCAAAGATAAAAAAGAGTGAAAACGATGGTTAATAAACATCGAAATAGAACAATGTGTTATGTAGAATGGCCGGTTCGTGCGAGTTGTAGAATTAGTGGTGTTCTTACTGCCACTATCACCAATCACCGAGCGAATTCAGCCGAGCCATTTACGCGCACGTACTAACTCCCTACACATCGAACGCTGGAAGTTGTTTGAGGGTTGGGTGATCTTTGTAGAGCAGTATTACACCTACTATTAATAACAGTGCGTTTAGCAAATAACAAAATCTTTGTTTAACTTGATAACAAAAATAATGACGTCGAATAACCTTATAGAGTCTTATAGCAACACGAGCCACCGGCGGACTGGAGTGGAGTAGCCATACGGAGACGTTCCCTTCTGTCAAATTATAATTCTACATGGTCCTATGCGTATAATAAAAATAGTTGCAGCCGCACTGCTCACTAGACTAAATCTAGTACGCGGATGAATCGACGCCCTACAAAAATGCCGATTTGTTCAGTTTTTTGCTGCAAAAAGACATCACGTCTTTAAACTGGCTTCTTTAATAACAGTCGTGTTGTTTCATATTTGTTTACCAATACAGGTCGTCATCCACCATACAATATACAGAGCGGTCGAGCGACTGATCAAAGTCTTTATCCTGTTACCGAGCGATGCTGTTATGTATCTATGTGTGTGGGAAATTGCTAGTTTATTGTTTTAATTGTTATATTTGAGTTTCGTTGCGACAGGCGATAGTTTTTATGTGGACAGATTTCCTCCCGCAAAAATGACACACAGTTCTGTATCGGGACAAAATGCTATGGCTACTCTCCTCCGGCCCGCCACTGGCCCATGTTGCTCTATGAGTAACGTTACAATTTTAGCAACTCGTGTCATTAAAAATAATATTTTGTTGCAGTTTCATCGTACATCAGAAGAATTGACAAAACATGTCGACCCTGCTATTTTGCCCAAAGAATATGGCGGCACAGTCCCCTTGAAGGATATGGTAGAGGAACTTAAGCGTAACCTTCTAAAACGCAGAGAGGAACTGCTGGCGTTGGACGAGATGTGTGTTGATTTGTACGCTTTAGAGAAAAATGATTTAACCCAAGATATACATTCGACTGCTGGTTCGTTCAGAAAACTGGAACTAGATTAGAATGATAAAGTATTTTACTATATAGAAAGTAAGCGATACTATGTTGCAAAATAAAATGCTATTTAAAAGTATAGATACGAAATGCGTTACAAAATTATAGTGAAAATTTTCAATAAAGATTCCATAGTCGTAAAACGATACGCAGTAGTAAAGGGACAATCTAGGAATAAAATATGGAGAAAGACAATGTTAAGTTATCTAGGCTATCGAAGATAAAGATTGGAAATAAAGTATAAAGGGCCTTACTTACCTTTATGAAGAAAAGTTTCACATGCTTTAGATTAGGTGCGTTCAGAATGTAAAAGGATATAAGAATGTAATATTATTCACATAGTGTGTAAAATTTATGAATATCGGAATAACAATATTACTCCTTTCAATTCCACGATCGAATTTTCGAAAAATTTGTCACAAAGTTCCGTAGTTGCGAAATTCCGGAATTTCGGAGACCCTTTTTACTGGAAACGGGGCATTCCATCTAATTCTTCACAGGTGACAACGCATCTACATTTTGATTCGTAGTTGTAGATGTCTATGGGCCACAGCAACTACTTATCATCAGGTGGACTGTACGATATTGTCAGGTAAGATTTCGGAATCGATGAAGAATTACGTACGTCACGTAGCGGAGTTAATTGGTGTTTTGGTCTTCATTTTCAAGACTCGATTAACGAATACGTATCAACGTATCTATACTTTTCTTATATCATTGCAGTTATTATAACTTAACACAATATTATGGTGCAGAAATGTGATTTTTTACTTTTTAAGACATGGATACACTATCGTTATTTTAAAATTTTTATATTATATTTGATCAAACACAGTGGCTTTTTATTTGTGATGTAAAAATACTATGTATTTTTAATTACTTACTGTTTAACTGTAAGCATAGTTTACACAGTAAGTAATAAAAATAGTAGTAGCTTTATAGGAAAATTAAAACAAACAAGGTATTAGATTTTGGCAAAAATACTAGTAAATAGGCAAGGTGCTATTGCATTGTCTTAAATGACGATAATATTATATAATTTAGGATTTTTCTTTTTTAAATATATAAATAGATCTCAAGATTTAATCATAAAATACTTTTCATGCTCAAATATATTTTGAGTACTATATTAAAATAAGTTTTCGATTTCCTTTAAAGTCCCTACCATAGTTTTCAACCTCTTAGTTACTAGTGAGCTAATGGCAGCCGTCGGTGGAGTCACGTTACCATTCGTATCAGGTTGTTCCTCGTTGTCCACAGACAATGATTATATTAATAATTGTTCATAAACTAAATATAAGGCGATTTAATGCCAACTTGACAACCTGACTGCTGCTTGTTGTACTTAAGTAATGTTTACTTTTGAAATTTTATAACAGCTTATAACTCTGCTAATAAAAATAATTTCATGTTTACTTTTGTTAATTACGTAACGCAACATTATAATTTTAGCAATAAATATTTTACTACTATTATCTGGTTTTGGTTTTTTGTTTTTTCTTTATCGGACGGTACGGATTTGGCGGATGGGGCCTACGCGACGAAAAGTGTAAGATTTTTCCGTCACGACACCTTCTGACGTAGTGTTGACGGCTTGGCGATTATAAGGAAGCTATCTGCCACGCACTTTTTCTTATCTCGACATGAAAGAAATATTATTTTATTTTAAATGACGCTACATTTTAATAGACGCTAGTAATTTATTGTATTTGTATTTGTGAATCAATAATATAATACGTTTATCAATAAGAATGTACTACGAATGGTTCCAACCGAATGTTCCATGACACTCACGCAAGTTTTTTTTAAAAAATAAATGACTTCTTTTTATTAATTCTTTCGGAAGCTATCAGCCGCCTGTGCGCGATATTAAATGCGTGAGAGGCATTCCCCGTCCTAAACATGTCCGTCTGGATAAAAGAAAACCACTTAGTTTGTTTTTTTAAATAAAAGCGCGTATGTATATATACTAGTATATTAGACGATTTTCCACCGACTTCAAACAGGAGACGGTACGTAATTCGACTGTATGTTTTTATTTATTACTTTATTATTTTTGTTTTTATTATTATTATATATTTTTCTTACTTTTTATTAGGTGAACCGATTTCGATGTTTCTTTTTTTATTTGAAAGCTGGTGCTTCACAAGTGGTCCCTCGTTGATTAAGGTCTGACCAATAATTTTTGACTTATTCTTAATAATTTATATTGAAGTCGGTTGTACAAAATCTTAAATTTTAAATAATTATGTTAGGACCAATTCTGAAATTTGTTGTAAAATTAATCAAAAGTTGTGTTAGTAATCAGTGGCGTAGCTACCCAGTGGCTAGTCGGGGCAGTGCCCCGGGGGCCCCCAAGCGGAAGGGACTTCTCAGTCTCCAAGAACGAAATTCGAAATATTATGTACTATCCTAGTTGTATAAAGTATTTTCGGGTTAACTTTTTGGCCCCTGACCGCGAACGGCTCGAATTGAAATCACAAAAATTACTCCTACTTCCAGAACATAAATAGAACATTGTTAAAGATAATTGTCTACGTCGTCTCATTGTCTTTTTTATATAGAAGAGATGGACAAACGAGAATGAAGCTTACCTGATGGCAAGTGTCGACCACCGCCTATTAACAAATACAACACCAGGGGAACTTCAGGCGCGTTGCCGGCTTTTTAAAAAGAAGTAAGGTGGTTTCTTGAAGCCCTAAGTCGTATCGGACCGACAGTAGTGTACTGCCAAACATCGATTTGTGAAATAAATTGATGAAATTTTGAGGCTGGAATTAATCCGAACAATTCCTCTGAACGCTCCCCGTGGTATATTCGATAGAAAATGCAAAGGGATGCAACATCTCTTCCTCTCGTCTTCATCGGTCGTCAAAAATTCGAGCCGCTCTGCACTGGATGCGGTCAAGTGGAAGGAGTTAGTACTAGAGATCCCCGGCCCAGAGATGAGAACAGTATTCCATGTGAGGCCAAACTTGCGCTTTGTAAAATTGCAAGCGATGTGCTGGCATGAAATACTGTCTCGCTCTGCTGAGCACCCCAAGCTTTTTAGAGGCCAATTCAGCCTTCCCTACCAAGTGAACACTAAACTGCACGTTATTCGACATGTCAACACCGAAGATTCCGATACTGGCTGTGGTAATAAGGAGAGTGCCCTAAAATTGATGTATTACGACAAAGGGGTTCTTTTTAGTGGTAAACGCGCAAACTTGTGTCTTCGGGGTATTGAACTTTATTAGATTTAGTCGCCCCAATCCAAGACCTTATCCGGCAAAGACTCTACTTCAGACACAAGTTTGTTACGGTACTCGGTGATGTTTTCCCGAGAAATACATGCACAGCCGGTGTATAAAGCATCACCAATGCACGTTACAGGATTGTAACATATTATTGGTAATAAGAAGAAACAGCGTAGGTGATAGCACGTAGCCTTGTGGAACACCAGCATAAATAGACTCGTAAATGGAGTATACACCTGCTACTATGACTTTATTGCTCCAATCTGCAAGAAAACTGTTAATCCAGTTGCACAAACTCTCGGGAAGCCCATAGGAAGGAAGCTTCGAAAGAAGCGCTTTGAGCCAAACCCAATCGAAGGCCGTCGCTATGTCTAAACTAATGGCCTGGGTCACCCTCTCTGCATCTGCCGATTTATGAGTCAAGTAACCCAGAAGATCACCAGCTGAGCAACCCCGACGGAAATCGTACTGGCGGTCACTTTTTAGTTGGTCATCCTCAACCTCATGAGCTGGCAGTTCACAATGGTTTTAATTATTTCGGAGAACAAGTTGAATAGGTCTGAGCGCTCGATTTTCGGTAAATTTTTAGGGATCTGTTGGACTAAAGCTGTATTCATTGAGTTTGGGATGATGCCTAGGGAGAAAGAGTTTTATAAAAGACACGTTACGACCGGTGCCAACTAGGGAGCACACGTCTTCAGCACAATGGGAGGAACTCCATCAGGGCTACTAGACTTAACGTCTAGGGAGAGTTGTGCTATTCGCACCGAGCGCTTTGTAAACCATATCGTACCGACCTGAAAGCGAAATTATACTTCTTTTTAACAGCGCTGGTGAAGCACTCCTATTATAGCGTGATGCAATTTTTCAGGAGCGACCAAAGCAGGCACCACAGATTATAGAATAATAAGTCCCATTCCCTGAAGTACTACATCAGCGACAGATGCACGTTGGAATCATTTGGCGAGAAGCATACCCGCCCCTGTCCTCAAAGGAAGGATACAAAAAAGGCGGTATCCTGTCCCAATCGGCCGACCTGTAGTGCCAAGCACGACGGCGATCTGCAGCACGCAACCGCGATTGGAGTGTGAGTGGCATCATAGTCCGGATTAGACAATGGTCCAATGAGCTAAGATGGGCGTCGACGGAGACCTGATATCCGTCTGTATGTATATGTCCAACAGCGAAGGTGCAAAATCTTCCACATTTAGAATCCGCGTAAGTGAAGTAACCATTTATTTTGAACCATATGCCAAGGCAAAGTCATAAACCGATCTTCCCGCATGATCGGTTCAACAAGAACCAAGCCATTCAGCGTTTAAGCCGTTAAAATCACCAAGTTGCATGATCTCTGCAGACGGGACCTGTTGTAGCACGGAGTCCGCAGCGATTTCGATGTGGTCGATGAGTTAATGTGTGTCGGCATAACCTATACAGGCTCCCGTAAACGCGAGGATGGTCGTCGCTGAACTTTTAGACTGCCGAGGCGTCGAGAACAGATGTCCTCTCTGACGTATACACAAACTCCAGTCCGAGGCACAAAGGTGTTATAATTTGTACCCCGGATCGGAGAGAAGCATATATTATTTAGGTTTGGCACGGTAGGATAGTTAAATAAACAAAACTTTTATCAACATTTATTATATACTTAAAATAGAATATTTTTTTACAAGCTACTTATTCTAAATATTTTATTTTTATAATTTCTGTTCTTCAATTTGTTGTACCTTTTAATTAAATGGTAAATTATAATTTAATATAAAGTTTTT